ACTTCCCTGACTACTTCCCCAGCCACTTCCCTGACCTGGACCACTTCCCTGACTACTTCCCCAGCCACTTCCCTGACCTGGACCACTTCCCTGACTACTTCCCCAGCCACTTCCCTGACCTGGACCACTTCCCTGACTACTTCCCCAGCCACTTCCCTGACCTGGACCACTTCCCTGACTACTTCCCCAGCCACTTCCCTGACCTGGACCACTTCCCTGACTACTTCCCCAGCCACTTCCCTGACCTGGACCACTTCCCTGACTACTTCCCCAGCCACTTCCCTGACCTGGACCACTTCCCTGACTACTTCCCCAGCCACTTCCCTGACCTGGACCACTTCCCTGACTACTTCCCCAGCCACTTCCCTGACCTGGACCACTTCCCTGACTACTTCCCCAGCCACTTCCCTGACCTGGACCACTTCCCTGACTACTTCCCCAGCCACTTCCCTGACCTGGACCACTTCCCTGACTACTTCCCCAGCCACTTCCCTGACCTGGACCACTTCCCTGACTACTTCCCCAGCCACTTCCCTGACCTGGACCACTTCCCTGACTACTTCCCCAGCCACTTCCCTGACCTGGACCACTTCCCTGACTACTTCCCCAGCCACTTCCCTGACCTGGACCACTTCCCTGACTACTTCCCCAGCCACTTCCCTGACCTGGACCACTTCCCTGACTACTTCCCCAGCCACTTCCCTGACCTGGACCACTTCCCTGACTACTTCCCCAGCCACTTCCCTGACCTGGACCACTTCCCTGACTACTTCCCCAGCCACTTCCCTGACCTGGACCACTTCCCTGACTACTTCCCCAGCCACTTCCCTGACCTGGACCACTTCCCTGACTACTTCCCCAGCCACTTCCCTGACCTGGACCACTTCCCTGACTACTTCCCCAGCCACTTCCCTGACCTGGACCACTTCCCTGACTACTTCCCCAGCCACTTCCCTGACCTGGACCACTTCCCTGACTACTTCCCCAGCCACTTCCCTGACCTGGACCACTTCCCTGACTACTTCCCCAGCCACTTCCCTGACCTGGACCACTTCCCTGACTACTTCCCCAGCCACTTCCCTGACCTGGACCACTTCCCTGACTACTTCCCCAGCCACTTCCCTGACCTGGACCACTTCCCTGACTACTTCCCCAGCCACTTCCCTGACCTGGACCACTTCCCTGACTACTTCCCCAGCCACTTCCCTGACCTGGACCACTTCCCTGACTACTTCCCCAGCCACTTCCCTGACCTGGACCACTTCCCTGACTACTTCCCCAGCCACTTCCCTGACCTGGACCACTTCCCTGACTACTTCCCCAGCCACTTCCCTGACCTGGACCACTTCCCTGACTACTTCCCCAGCCACTTCCCTGACCTGGACCACTTCCCTGACTACTTCCCCAGCCACTTCCCTGACCTGGACCACTTCCCTGACTACTTCCCCAGCCACTTCCCTGACCTGGACCACTTCCCTGACTACTTCCCCAGCCACTTCCCTGACCTGGACCACTTCCCTGACTACTTCCCCAGCCACTTCCCTGACCTGGACCACTTCCCTGACTACTTCCCCAGCCACTTCCCTGACCTGGACCACTTCCCTGACTACTTCCCCAGCCACTTCCCTGACCTGGACCACTTCCCTGACTACTTCCCCAGCCACTTCCCTGACCTGGACCACTTCCCTGACTACTTCCCCAGCCACTTCCCTGACCTGGACCACTTCCCTGACTACTTCCCCAGCCACTTCCCTGACCTGGACCACTTCCCTGACTACTTCCCCAGCCACTTCCCTGACCTGGACCACTTCCCTGACTACTTCCCCAGCCACTTCCCTGACCTGGACCACTTCCCTGACTACTTCCCCAGCCACTTCCCTGACCTGGACCACTTCCCTGACTACTTCCCCAGCCACTTCCCTGACCTGGACCACTTCCCTGACTACTTCCCCAGCCACTTCCCTGACCTGGACCACTTCCCTGACTACTTCCCCAGCCACTTCCCTGACCTGGACCACTTCCCTGACTACTTCCCCAGCCACTTCCCTGACCTGGACCACTTCCCTGACTACTTCCCCAGCCACTTCCCTGACCTGGACCACTTCCCTGACTACTTCCCCAGCCACTTCCCTGACCTGGACCACTTCCCTGACTACTTCCCCAGCCACTTCCCTGACCTGGACCACTTCCCTGACTACTTCCCCAGCCACTTCCCTGACCTGGACCACTTCCCTGACTACTTCCCCAGCCACTTCCCTGACCTGGACCACTTCCCTGACTACTTCCCCAGCCACTTCCCTGACCTGGACCACTTCCCTGACTACTTCCCCAGCCACTTCCCTGACCTGGACCACTTCCCTGACTACTTCCCCAGCCACTTCCCTGACCTGGACCACTTCCCTGACTACTTCCCCAGCCACTTCCCTGACCTGGACCACTTCCCTGACTACTTCCCCAGCCACTTCCCTGACCTGGACCACTTCCCTGACTACTTCCCCAGCCACTTCCCTGACCTGGACCACTTCCCTGACTACTTCCCCAGCCACTTCCCTGACCTGGACCACTTCCCTGACTACTTCCCCAGCCACTTCCCTGACCTGGACCACTTCCCTGACTACTTCCCCAGCCACTTCCCTGACCTGGACCACTTCCCTGACTACTTCCCCAGCCACTTCCCTGACCTGGACCACTTCCCTGACTACTTCCCCAGCCACTTCCCTGACCTGGACCACTTCCCTGACTACTTCCCCAGCCACTTCCCTGACCTGGACCACTTCCCTGACTACTTCCCCAGCCACTTCCCTGACCTGGACCACTTCCCTGACTACTTCCCCAGCCACTTCCCTGACCTGGACCACTTCCCTGACTACTTCCCCAGCCACTTCCCTGACCTGGACCACTTCCCTGACTACTTCCCCAGCCACTTCCCTGACCTGGACCACTTCCCTGACTACTTCCCCAGCCACTTCCCTGACCTGGACCACTTCCCTGACTACTTCCCCAGCCACTTCCCTGACCTGGACCACTTCCCTGACTACTTCCCCAGCCACTTCCCTGACCTGGACCACTTCCCTGACTACTTCCCCAGCCACTTCCCTGACCTGGACCACTTCCCTGACTACTTCCCCAGCCACTTCCCTGACCTGGACCACTTCCCTGACTACTTCCCCAGCCACTTCCCTGACCTGGACCACTTCCCTGACTACTTCCCCAGCCACTTCCCTGACCTGGACCACTTCCCTGACTACTTCCCCAGCCACTTCCCTGACCTGGACCACTTCCCTGACTACTTCCCCAGCCACTTCCCTGACCTGGACCACTTCCCTGACTACTTCCCCAGCCACTTCCCTGACCTGGACCACTTCCCTGACTACTTCCCCAGCCACTTCCCTGACCTGGACCACTTCCCTGACTACTTCCCCAGCCACTTCCCTGACCTGGACCACTTCCCTGACTACTTCCCCAGCCACTTCCCTGACCTGGACCACTTCCCTGACTACTTCCCCAGCCACTTCCCTGACCTGGACCACTTCCCTGACTACTTCCCCAGCCACTTCCCTGACCTGGACCACTTCCCTGACTACTTCCCCAGCCACTTCCCTGACCTGGACCACTTCCCTGACTACTTCCCCAGCCACTTCCCTGACCTGGACCACTTCCCTGACTACTTCCCCAGCCACTTCCCTGACCTGGACCACTTCCCTGACTACTTCCCCAGCCACTTCCCTGACCTGGACCACTTCCCTGACTACTTCCCCAGCCACTTCCCTGACCTGGACCACTTCCCTGACTACTTCCCCAGCCACTTCCCTGACCTGGACCACTTCCCTGACTACTTCCCCAGCCACTTCCCTGACCTGGACCACTTCCCTGTTGGAGATGTGTCTCTTGTTAGTGAATCCATTATGACACTTGCTGCTGAACACCATTTCAATTTGTTGTCAAGTAGTCCTTTCTCTAAGACTTTGTTTGGAAGTCTTTGAAATCTTGTGGGAGAAATTAATTGTGAATGTATGGATTGATTTGATAGAATTCTCTTAATCCTACTACAGAAGTTTGTGACCGCTAATGGTACAATTAAAATATTTAAGTATTTTGTAGATTTAGTTAAAAAAAAAACTACATTACGTTTTCTTTAACTGTAGCAGCTGCTAAATATATTCAGTCAACAGACTTGCTGCTGCAGTAGTTTTGTTACTCTGAATTTATTCTAAATCATTTAAGGCACAGCTCTATTTTTGTTTTTTATAGCGGCTCATCAGATGTTTTGTTCCATCCGTTGCTTTATTACTGTCAATCACAGCATTGACTCGTAATTTACACTAGCGTTTGTAATTCCTGAAACATTATACTGTGTAGGCTTACTAGTAAAAGTTCAAAAAGTACAACTTTAAAATTGTACTTCTTAAAAGTGGATGACGTGTACAGAGAAACTGACTGCAGCTCATGAGGCAGATGCATCGGTCACTCTTGACCATCTGGAGAACCTCCATGAGAAGACGAGTATAAACTTTTGCAAAGGGTGCGGAAAACAGCTGCGGCAAAAATGTGAAAAATGTACATTTTAGGCAGAACATAGCACACCTCACAGCAATCAGCCGATTCAATGCTGATTGATTCAGTGTTCTGAACGGATCGGTTGAGCTAAGTTTCATTAGCCCACGAAGAACACAAATAAAATAAAAACCACCCTATTAAAAATAGAAATAGTCACAGCTAATAGAAAACTTATGAGAACATGGCTTCAGAATAAATAATTTGCAATAAACAAACTACACACATCTCAATCAACTCCTCAAAATCGCAATTCTCTTTATTTTTAATTTTTTTTGGGGGGGAGGGGCCAAGAGAAAGACAGAAATCTCTTAACTGTTTGAGCAAACATGGAAAACATGCCATATGAATAAAGCACTGAATTGAAAAGATCACCAGTAAGGGTTATGCAAAATGCCCATGATCATTTCAATAACCACTTCCCCGACCTTTAACACTTCCCCGACCATGACCACTTTCCCGACCACTTCCTTTACCTTGACCACTTCCCTGACCACTTCCCTGACTACTTCCCCAGCCACTTCCCTGACCTGGACCACTTCCCTGACTACTTCCCCAGCCACTTCCCTGACCTGGACCACTTCCCTGACTACTTCCCCAGCCACTTCCCTGACCTGGACCACTTCCCTGACTACTTCCCCAGCCACTTCCCTGACCTGGACCACTTCCCTGACTACTTCCCCAGCCACTTCCCTGACCTGGACCACTTCCCTGACTACTTCCCCAGCCACTTCCCTGACCTGGACCACTTCCCTGACTACTTCCCCAGCCACTTCCCTTTAGCAAACATTGCAAATAAATTAGTTGCAAAACGGTATCCACTCATTTGCAGACAGTGCAAAAGGCAGAGTACCTACAATAACGGTGAAAATGAAGTTTGAGAATTTATTAAAACACCTAATTGCCAGATTTCCAGTGTCCTACCCATAGTTTTTCTGGATAAACAAGTCTTTAAAGCCATTTTTCTAAGTTTCACACTCTGGAGCAGAGCGGCAGTCCACCCGTCACTCAAGTAGCCACGACCTTAATTATGCAGAACTTTAAGGCTTAATATAATTTAAACAGATGAGTTAAACAAACTCACCCCCCTCACAGTTGTCATGAAGGGCAAAATTACCTATATAGACCAAAACCACTATTTGTACCAGGCTGTCAATTTCTTTGCTGTAAAGTTGGGCATTTTAACATGGCAGGTCTATGGGACTGACTCCCTTTTGGAGCCAGCCTCTAGCGGCCAGTCGATGAAATGCAGTTTTAAGTCACTTCCATATTGGTTTCAAGCAAGAGACCAGGATACAGGACGTGGTACACGATTTTATTCCAGATGATTGGTCTGGACACTCTCCAGGCTTTGCTGTTATTCAGACACAAGACCGAAAGCGTCACTGAATGCTGAACATCTTCATTCACTTATATTAAAAGTTTTAAACACTTCAGTCTCCATTTAAGACTTATTGAATTCAATGTGTTATTGCAATGTGGGTTTTTGTGTTTTTTTTTTTTGAGGACCCCCAGAGGGTTCAAGAGGAACATTAGGGGAGGCCAGAGAGTGCGGGTTCAGCATTTGGAAAGCAGGGGTTTTGCAATACGTGTCTCAAACCTTAATATACATTTTACATTCATCTGCTTCAATCAAAAGTTTCTCATACTCTACTCATTGCAAAACTGAGTCACTTATTTCTGCAGGCTGTGTAATGAAGTTAACAGATATTCTCACCTGTGGTTTTTCCTGGAGTAGCATCTGTAATGCTCAGGTATCCAGACAGACACAAAACAGCAATCAAAGAGCAATACACTCGAGCTGTCATCCTCCCGATCTGCGATCTCACAATGAGCTCTGCTGGAAAATGCACTGAATTGGTGCGTCAGGAGCAGCTGACAGCGAAGCGCACAAAACTAAAACGAATAACCGTGCTGCTGCAACATAAACCTCTGTAAAATGGGGTTTTAAAGATCCAAGGAGATCAGGTCAACTCCAACCCCGATCAAACTCACCTGTCTGTAGTTTTCTAGTAATCTGGAAGACCTTGATTAGCTTGTTCAGGTGTGTTTGATTGGGGTTAGATGAGCTGAATGCTGCGTTCACGCCATGTCATAATAATTAAGGAAGCCTAATTACAAGAGGATTGTGCATTTCTATGGCGACACTGGGTGCTTCTCAATCCTTATTTGTGCATCCTCGCTTCCATTCCTCGCGTCTTAACTCCACCCCTTCAGGATGCGAGGGAAGGACGCAAGGAAAAGACGTTTTTAAAGATCCAAGGAGATCAGGTCAACTCCAACCCCGATCAAACTCACCTGTCTGTAGTTTTCTAGTAATCTGGAAGACCTTGATTAGCTTGTTCAGGTGTGTTTGATTGGGGTTAGATGAGCTGAATGCTGCGTTCACGCCATGTCATAATAATTAAGGAAGCCTAATTACAAGAGGATTGTGCATTTCTATGGCGACACTGGGTGCTTCTCAATTCTTATTTGTGCATCCTCGCTTCCTTTCCTCGTGTCTTAACTCCACCCCTTCAGGATGCGAGGGAAGGACGCGAGGATGGAGGAATTGAATCAAGTGAAATTACATATCAATGTATCATCATCGCCATGTTGACGTTATCATGTGATCTACGACGTAATAACAAGCGAAACAACTTTATTTAATTCATCTAGCTATCTGTAAATGTTTTGATGTTGATGAAATCTGCTCATGTTGTGGTCTTGTTGAAGAAACAGCAGCCCATTTATTGTGATTGTAGTATAACCAATGCATTTTGGGTTGATTTATGTTTTTAAATTTTTACTGTGCTAATATGACCCACAGTTTTATCCTTAAAGATATTATAGGCCTATTTTACTATGAAAACCCCAAATTGTTGTTTTTTTAATATGTTGTTGATTCCTTTTTATGTGCAAAACTGAGATCTTTGTTCTCCTCTTTTTCTTGTTGAGTTTAATTCTCTTTGTTTCATCCCTCAGGCTTATAAATAGCAACAGCAACAAATGCAATTTTCGATGCATTATGATTGTATGAACATTATGATTATTCAAAGATAGAGTAATGGTGCCTTTTTTTCTGTGTATGTGTTGTACACAAACCCATTACAATTATGCTTCTATTATGAGTGTTTATTGTTAAAGATACAATCATCTTTACCTGAGCTTGTGTGTAATTATAAATTCTGCAGTAATAAGGAAGATAAGAGGGACAGGTGCACTAACACTTCATAGCATCAGTAACTCCACAACCCTACCTACGTTTTTCCTCAGCGTTTGCAATGTCTGCACAAAGACAACGTCAGGCAGCTGCTTGAAGATCTCGCCTTTGGAGAAGACTGTTGATATTATACTCAAAAAAATTTAAGAATTACTACTTAAGCGTTTGCAATGTCTGCACAAAGACAACGTCAGGCAGCTGCTTGAAGATCTCGCCTTTGGAGAAGACTGTTGATATTATACTCAAAAAAATTTAAGAATTACTACTTAAAAAATAAGATTACCCCAGAATGCATTGCTAGCCCACCCCAACACTTACAATAATAATGATAAATGCTGACCAGTAATTAATTGATTTTATATATAATTTTAGTAAAACAAGCAAAATGTCATTTCTTTTGTCAAATGCCATTGCTATGCATGAATACACACTAGACAAATGCAGCCAATGTGAATACATCTCAATTTTCAGTAAAGTAATGAATTAATGCATAGATTAATGAAACAATTATATTTTATTTACTGACGACAACAACAGGAAACATGAATATAGGAGTAAAAGAATAAAAGTAACCATGAAAATAAATAAATACAAGTTAACAACACATGAAACAAAGCTTTATTCAAACATATTGTTCTGACAATGATATATTTACAGGCGTTGAACCCACATCTACTGCCATCTCAACACAGCTGTGCCAGTTGCATGAAGCAGCTGACCACCGTGTCCACCTTCACCTGTATTTGCCGTCCATCATGACCCTCATTGCTGTATTCAGACTGGAATCTGATCATGGATGAGAAAGGGACATCAAGGCTGTCCTTGCCCGAGTACACAGAGAGGATGAGGAAGACCATGATGAATAAGTACACAGTGTATTGATTATTGCTATTCAACATCTTCAAGAGTAAATCAGTACAACTTAGTACAACTGCCTGTGCTTCATTTCTCTTGTGGCCATTGGGCATCAACTGTGGTAATCGACCCTCTGAGATGGTTGGCACCGTAATAGTAATTGGTGCAATACAGTACCATTCAAACAATGTAGATCATTTTATTTACGGCTAAATTATTATTCTAATATAATTTTTATTATATTATATAATAAATTTTACTAATAGTTAGATTGGGCAGGCCTTCACTCATTAGCTATAGTGGCCATTTCCACTCCCTAGTTTTTTTTTTTTTTTCTTCACGTCTTGCTTCTGGATTTATTGAAAAATGACTATACTTACAAGTACTAAAATAAAAAATAAAAAAAGTATAGCAAGTGCAGGAAGTCACAAAGTCTCATGTCATTTAAAAAATAGAGGGTCTTTCTTCTCGATGCGCCGGTTTCGCCCTTCCGTATTTTTGGTACCTCCATTGAGACGGTGGTCGAGAAGTTCAGGAAGGCTAAGGCGCACTCAGCAGCCTTCACAAAGGTCCAGGTCTGAGCCCGAACAACCCAGGGGTCTTGGCCCGTCTCGGTTTGAGGATCAGAGACAGGCACAGAAGGCTAATGTCGCGGCTCGTGCTCCTCCCCCGCCCGCGGGTAGGGGTAGGAAGAATCGCGGGTCAAAGGAAGGTAGGTAAAAGACCTAAGGGATGTGATCCAGACAGGGCGTCAGCGCTTTTGTCCGGATCAGAGTGATACCTCATTATCTACTCATTTCCTTGATTTCTGGTCTACCGTATCTAGGTCGCCCTGAGGGGCCTCCTAGTCACCAGGATATGCCCTCTTGCTGAGGCATCGAGCGGGAAGTATAGGTGGCATTTGCGAGAACCTTCTTGTGTAATGCTGTCTCAGGCAGTGCTCCCCTCACCTTAGAGGGTTGTATTTGAGCTTGCCTCTCCCGTTTGGCTCAGTACTTCCGGGTATCTGTGAGCAGATGCTTGGAAAACTCTTAAATCCATACTAAGGTAAGTGAACACGTTAAGCTTTGCGCACTTTCTAAAAATCCACATAAGTGGTAAGTGTGCACGTTATGCTTTGCGCACTTTCTAAAATCCACATAGGTGGTAAGTGTGCACGTTATGCTTTGCGCACTTTTCTGAAATCCTGTATGCTAAGGGTTACGCGTTATTAGCCTTGTTCCCTTTCTCTGAGTTGGTTTAGACCCCTCTACCACTGTGTCTCTGTTGACACACTTTTGAAGCATCGATCCCCTCACCATTGAGGGTTATTGCGAGCATGGTGCCCTCTTTCGAACGTTTGAATTCTCTCCCTTCTGAGGAGTTGGATTCCTCGCTCCGTGGGCTGTTCTCGTGGTAGTGTTTAGCAGTGCTCCCCTTTATCAAAGAGTTGCCTATGAGCACGCTACTCCTTTCTGAATTCAGAGTTCTCCTCTCACGTGAGAGTTGAGTTCTCTGTTTT